AGTGCCCTTCACTAGGTTAGTACATCTGTGCTTGGCTGCTTTGGGTGTGGCTGCTTATAGCTCCCAGCTAGCCACTTCTCCAGAGACCTGCCTTTGGCCAAACTGGAGCCTCCTGCCTCATCTGGAAGTTGCAAACCCCCTCAACCCATCCGCTCTCCTCTCAGAGACAATGACTGATTAATGCAAGTACACAAAAAGCCAGACTTATTGTCTCCAGGGAAACCAACTCTTCGGCAATTGGTGCTCCAAGCTCCTGGGGAGATCAAGCTAAACTAATCTCTAGCTGAGACCTCTTCCTTGTTTAGCTTTCCTCCCCTCTCCTAGACTGCTTGCCTCACTGCTGCTGTTGAGAATATTCCCTCAATAAATTGCTTTTACAAGCATCTCCATCTCAAGTTCAGGAAGCCTGACCTCAGACAGATGACTTCCTAGATTCTGGCTTGAGTGACTGGGTGACATCGATGCCACTTATTGCAAGAGGGAAAACAGAAAAGGAGCCCATGGATAAGATCTTATTTATTTTTGACAGATTCTGGCAGAGTATATTTTCAATAAAATTTTTGAATTAACATATGAATGAGGGAAATGCTTTTGATTCTGCAGAATGCTTGGGACTCAGATTGTCAAGTAGAAAGTGGGATAGATCAGTCTAGATCTCATAAGATAGGTCTGGGTCAGAGATACATATTTGGAAGTTATAAATAATAATTAAAGCTGTGAGTCCAACTGATACCATCCAAGATATGCAAATAAATACTTGGTATAACCCAGGCCTAAGCCATGCCTACCCCTGGGCTGCTGAATGCTGGGGAAGCCGGATGGAGGAGGAAGTACAGTACTGCAAAGCATGGCTCTCTTTCAATTCATGACCACATTTGTCAAATGGTCAGTTCCACTGCCTGACCATTCTACTGTTCACCCTCTCAGGCACTTGCTCGTGGCCTTGACTCTTACGTGGGAGCGCCTTCATCTCTCCACACCTGTTTGTACCTGTAGCCATATCCGAGGCCACGCTCTGTTTCAGAGACTCTTTCTTCTACCTGTACTGTGGATTCTATTCTTTGCCAGTTTCTGATGATTGTACCACTGCAAATGAATCTTGCCCCTCCCTGAGTTCCATCTCCTTTACCCTCAGACTTTCTTGTTCTCCCCAAGGACTCCCATTGGACCTGTAAATGTTATGGTCTAAGACTTTGCCTTGGAATAATTTCTCTATTTCTGTTCTTTTAAGTATTCTCATCCAGTCCTGTAGATCGAAATATCTGCCAAATGCTGATTACTCCCATATTTTACTCCCAGCTCTGATCTCTCCCTTGAATATCAGATTCGCATATCCTAATGCCTATGTGATGTCTCATCTGCATGTCTAATGTACATTTTAAATTTAAATGTCCACCCTAGAAATCATGATTTTTCCCTCTAACCTTTCTCCTTCCCCTAGTATTTCATGTCAGGAAGTGGTACTATCTTCCACCCAATGCTCAGGATAAAATCCTCAGAGCCATCTTTGCGCCCTCTTTGCCTCACTCCCCATAAACACCCGTTGTCAGTTTGGTCTGCTTTCCAAAACATTTCCTGAATCCATGTTGCTCTACTTCCACTGCTGCCAAGCCCAGCCTCATCTCTTGTCTGGACTGAAATAGCCTGATGATTGTTCTCCCCAATTCTACCTTTGCCTCTTTAACTAATTCTTTATTTTGCAGTCAAAAGGATCATTTAAAACAATTTTTAAACAGATCATGTACTCCCCCACTTGTGATTTTCCAGGGGCTTCCCAGCACTTTAAAATAAAATCCATATTCCTTCCCATGGCCTACAGTCTCTACACATCTGGATTTCCTCTGTCCCATTTCATTCCATTCTCTCTTCCCTAAATTCTAGACCCCACCCCCCACCCTGTCTTGGTTCTCAAATTTAGCAAACTTACAGATGTGCACCAGTAGTTCCCTCTGCCTGAAACCTTATTCTTCCAGATGTTTGTGAAGCTGGATCTTTTTTTGTTGTTGTTATTAAATGTTCAACTTAAACTCAACTTAAACGTTCCCTCCTCGGGGATCATTTTCCTGGGCTCTCAGCCTGAAGCAATTCCCACACGCCCATCACTTCCTTCATGTGTGCCTGCTTAGCTGAGAACTAACAGCAACTAGTGATCCTAAAATCATCTGCTATTAGGACAATGGCATATTTAGCCACTTATCCCTCTTTTATTTCTCTTGTTTGACTGGAGTATGTGCTTACTTTGGAGTCCTGAAAGTTGAGATGAACACAAGAGAGTGTTTCAGGGCTTTAGAGATCTGTAAAACCTCAAAAGTTAAGTTTTAAGTTTTCTTCTTCCACAACAGCTTAAATCTTATTTCCAGTCTCTACCAGGAGAAGGTGAAAGAGTCGAAGAAAAGCAGAACAGAACTCATACTCTGTCCAGTTTAAAATTTTTCTGTGTTTGCTTGTTATTTTTTAGAAGATGTATGCAATATTAGTATATTATGGAGAGGCACCGAAAAATGACATAATATATTTTGAATACAAATGATGGTAATTGCTAAGAGTACTGCTACTTATTTTCTGAATTGAAAAATTACATACCTTTAAAAAAGTGTGATTATTATGGTCAATAAATTAAATCACAAGATAGAAAATTTCATCAGAGAGCTAGAAACTGTAAAAAAGAATCAAGTGAAAATTCAAGAACTGAAAAATATTAAAACTAAAATTAACCAATATGAGGCTACTTCCTCAAGACTGGGAGAGTTGCTCTTTTTATCTTTTACATAAAGACCAACACAGGGAGTCAAGGAAAATGAGGAAACAGAAGAATATGAAACTAAGAACCCTTCCTACCTGTTTTTTTGGGTCAGTATAATTTAATACCGAAGCCTGACAAGGACAACAAAGGAACATTACAGGCTAATCACTTCTGTGAACACAAAGCAAAAATTCTAAACTAATGTGAACAGATCAAATCCAGTGATCAAGCAGGGTTTATTCCAATTAAGTCAATTAACCAAAGTTAGATTAATGATATAAAATCAAGAAAAAACATCACATTAACAAAGGAAAGGAGAAAAATTATATGGTTACTTTAATAGAGCCAGAAAAAGAATTTGATAAAATTCAATATCAAGTCATGAAAATAAATTTAGCAATCCAGGAATAAAAGGGAGCTTCTTTAATCTTTTAAAAAGAATCTACAAAATATCTACAGCAACTATCATACACAATGTTAGCATATTGAATGCTTTCCCTTTGCAATGAAGAATGAAAGAAGGATGCTGGAAATACCACTTCTACTAAACATATACAGGAGGTTGCAATAAGAACAATAAGGTAAGGGAAATTTTAAAAGGTATGAAGATTTGGAAGTAGAAAATCAAGCTCATTATTTTGATTCTGAATATAGAAAATCCAAAAGAATCTACAGGACTGTAATACATGTGCAAGTTCAGTTGAATATTTCCAAAGGGACTGAGAATCCTACCTTACACCCTGTGCAAAAATTAATTCCAAGTGCAGATCTAAATATGAAAAGCAAAGAGCCAAAGCTTCTAGAAGATAACATAAGATAATTTTATAACTTTGTGACAGGGCAAGTTTAAACAGGACACCAAAAACATTAACCATAAAGAAAAAAATTCATAAGTTCAAATGAAAATGTATTAAAATTCAGAACTTCTGGCCATCAAAAGATACCACTAAGTAAAGATGCAAGTTAAGAGTGGGAGAAGATATTTGCAATACATATCATCAACAAAGGGCCTATATCCAGAATATATAAAGAACTCCTACATACCAATAAGAATAAAGACCAGTAGAAATACCAGTAGAAATTTAGGCAAGGAAATTGAACACTTTACAAAGGAGGATTATCAAAATGGCCAAGAAGTACGTGAAAATGTATTCAACCTTATTAAGCACCAGAGAAATAAGAATTAAAACCACAATAAGATGTTAGTACACACTGACCATAAAAGCTAAAATTTAAGACTAGTAATACCAGAAGGTACTGGAAAGAATGTAGGATAAGGAGAGCATTCAGACACTACTTGTTGGGGTATTAACCATCTCAGTTAGGAAAACAGCTTGACAGTACCTTCTAAAGCTACCTTATGGGTATCCTAGGACCTAACAATTCCACTCTTAGGAAATATGTATACATGTGTACCAAAAGGCACATACAAGAATGTTTTTAGTAGTGTTATTTGTAATAGCCCTAAACAGGAAATAACTGAAATGCCCAGTCAGCAGTAGCCTGAATAAGTTGTAATATCAGTCTATGTGTATCTATATACAATGGAATACTATAGAGAAACAAAAATAGATAAAACTACCACTACATACAACAATGTAGATAATGAACTCAGAAACAATGTTGAGCAAAAGAAGCCAGACATAAAAGAACACACAGAGTATGATGCTATTTATATAAAATTTACAGATGGCCACAACGAATTTATGATATTTGAAGTCAGGACAGTGGTTACCCTGGGAGCAAGTGAGAGAGTGCCTGGAGGGGACGTGAAGGGAGTGCTGCTAATGTTCTGTTTATTACCTGTGTGGTAGTTACAGCGATGTGTTCCCTTTGCGATAATTCATCAGGCTGTCCAATTCTGATCTGGGCATGTTTCTGTATGTATGTCAGAGACAGTAAAAAAGATTTTTTTTTTTAAACTAGCACAAAAGATCACTTGTAGTTCTTTAAAAATACAGATCCTTGAGGACTCATGGAATGTCCAGGGCTGAGTTCCAAGCACTTGAACTTTTAAAAAGCACCACCAGTACTTCTAGCGTGCACTAGAGGTGAAAAACCACGGATTGAAATGCTTCGTGGAACATCACGAATCTCTCTTCCTACCATAGATAGGTATGGCCAAGAGACTCACAGGCCCATCTTGGGGTCCTAGTCAAGGAACAACATTTTTTAAAACAACTATGTACACACCAGTGTATCAGTAAGAGTAAGCACCCCTTAAAGGAAAAAATATAATCAGTAGCCAGCAACTCACCAATGGGAATAGTTCATCATCACCAACCAAAGGACTTGTCATTTCTTTGGTTTGAAATGGCAAAGGCGGCGACAGGGGCGTTGTGCTTCTGTTCGGCTGGCGATCTCGGCTGAGCCTGAAAGAGAAGAAATGGTTGTTCTAGTTGGCAAGGACACGTGCTTGATTAGGTAGCTAAGGATTTCTATTTCTGGATGTCTAACTTGGGGGAAAACACAACATGTTTGGGCTTGTTATCTGGGTATTTCTTTGAAGATAATTTTCCTGATGAGTTATTTCTACTCCACTTAAAGGACTTAAAACAATTAATAGTGAAGCAGAAAACTGTATAATTGTTAGAAATATTCTCCTATTTGTACTGCTTCTCTTTCTGCATTTTACTTTTATATCTGTTTGCCACTTAATTAAAACACATGAAACCAGTCTGAGAAAAATCTCAGAACAGCTAACACTGCTGCCCTTGACAGTTCTAAGTCGTTACTCTTTTTCTATTCTCTAGTTTACTTAACCTCCCTGACTTTTCTTAAAAGAACCATATTTTTTGATGCTAGAACAAGTCTCTGTGTAACAATGATTCTGATTTCTATAGGGCTTGGTAATTTACGTTTTCAGTTTACATCATCTCCTTAAGTTACTTCACACTGAGTTGTATGGCCTTGACCAGGTGACTATATCTGTCTGAGACTTTCATTTTTCATGTATATAAACGGTTGTGATGATAACTGAACTCCACAGTTTGGATGGAAGGCACAATACAGAATTTGTGCTATAATATAGGGTAGAAGATGAGACTAAATAAAATACCATTGATACTTAAGATTTTGGTATGCTGACTAATCAAATGAATAATAAAAACAAAGGAACAAACCTAGTTTACTCTAAAATTTTCACAAAAAGGTCTTAATAGCATGGGCTGTTTGGGACTAAATAAATACCTTTCTGAATGTTAATTCATGAAAATGGGGTTGAAACTGAATCAAAATCATCAAAGACAATGAAAATATAAAACTCCCTTCAATTTAAAAATACTTATTTATTTTTACTAATGATTCAAGTCCTCCACAGGCATTGATTAACCATTTTCAAAGTCTTCATAGTTTAATTTCACACATTTCAAAAAATTTTTACATTATTTTTCTCTGCTCTTATCCAAAGACTGCCTATGTAGATTTGTTTCTTATTATGTAAACATCTTCAAAGCTGTGCATACAAATAGCAATAAAAGTTAAATGAGGCATCTGTAAATTAGTACAAAAAAACAAACAACATGTTTTCCATTTTTACTTATCTTGAAATATATCTTTTTTAAATCCATTCTCCCAATCCATAATTACCATGGAAACAGAAAAGCAAATTAAACTGAAATAACATGGTTTATGATGTGTACAATAAGTTGAAACATCTCACAGTTCAAATAGAATTATAACAATTGCATAGTACATCTGCACAGAATATTCAGCTGAACCTTTTAATTTGAGTGAGGTTACCATCTATACTTCAAAGCACAGTGGAAAAATTAGATAATTATAGAAGTGATTCAAGAAATCTCTTTCTCGGTAATCTCAATTATACAGAGATTTCAGGGAAAGTATGATTTTCCCTAAATTATCTAAATAATTATCTCAATCATCCATTTTGCTTTGGATGTATAGAAGCAGTCTTATGGTATTAATTACTAAAATTTATATATGAACAAATTCTTTTTATTGTAAGATCAATAAAATGTAGATATTGGAAGGGAAGACCACATTATGAAGTAAAGTACTTTGTTTTAAATCATCTTTATATCTGACAATTTCTTCTCCTAGAATATAACTATTCAAATACTTCATAAAAACACCTTGCAAAAAATGCTAAGTGTATCAATTTAAAAGCTATCTTCAAAGTTATTTCAGAATGCTTTCAATACCCCCTCACAAGCTGGTCTGTTCAGGTAGCTTTTTCACAGGCCCTATTCCATGGCCTCTGCCCACTTTTGCCAAGAGGGTAGGAGCTGGTGGCTTTCTTGGGGACCCAAACCCTAGTCACTTGAGATATGAGTCATTTATCTGCACAACTTTCAGAATTATCTGATTGTACAGCCGGTCTTGGCCCTCCATTAATTTTCCCTGGACTATAGAGTAGTGGCCTCAGGGGGGAACAGGATCTCTTTACAAACTATGCTAATTTACCTGCTTCCAACCTCACCTTCTAACACGCACATAATGCTCCCTCTTCTATGACCTATTCGTTATTTCCTGGCCTAGAATTGTTCATCCTGCAAGTTTTTCTCCTTATTGAATAACACCATGGTACAAAATTCGCTTCTAGATGATGATTCCTTGACAAAGGATCCTGTGACAGTGGTTATGACAAACCTACTGACTGTGATTTTTTTAGGATTAGAAACTTTTGATTTACTAACTACATGTAAAGCAATTTTAGTGATTAATGTTTGTGATTTCTAAAATCTTTCCAATGCATGACGTAACTTAAAACCAAACATTCATTATTTTAAGTATGTACTGTAGGTAATGGTACAACTCCATTTATTAAAAATTGTCATTAAAATTAGTTATGTATTAATCACTGTAGATACCACTATTCCAAACTAGCTTGTAAATTGTCCTTAAACTTCAAAACTTTAACTTTTAAAAACTTTAAGAGTATTCAGTATGTCCTCACCAAATTCAATTACATATCATTCATATATTTTTTTAAGTGCTGAATAACTTTCTTATTGGAAAGAAAATCCTTTGGAATATCATAAAATGCTTCATAAGTGGAGAAGCATGACAAACGTCTGATCACTTCTAACAGGAGTAAAAAACAACAAAAATTGAGTTACTTCCAAATGGATAGATTATTTCAATAATGTATTACACAAATCTCTCAGTTAAAAGCAGGAAGTGGCTAAAAATTAGACTACAGACTTTAAAATCTGTGGAACATTTATCTTTATATACTTGTACATAAAAGCTTTTTTCCTTCCTAAATAGTTTAAAAAGACCTTATTGCATTAGCCATTGATATGTAAATATGGCCTACACATTTTCTTATTATTTTATGCCTAACAAATACATATACATATATATTTGACTTCAGTGAGCTTGCTGTGAGGGAAATAAAGAATATTTTATTTTTCACTTGCTAAATTAATAGGTATGTGCTTTACAGTTCTCCACTGCTGAGTTCACAGTGTCCTTGCATCTCAACAACTCTTTCCCCATAGTGGGTTTTACATGGGTAATAATTTATTCAGAACATTTGAAATGCTGTTTCTTTTAAAAATCAGGTCACTGGAGAACACTGAAATCAGACAAGGCATTAAAACAAATTTAATGACACTTTCAACAAATGAAACTTCAGGACACAAGGTGTTGCAGCAGGGACAGAAGTGCAACCAGCTTATTAAGATAACCGTCCGCTGAGCATTTTGTCTCTTACCCTGCTTTCTGTGTCCCCTACTGTCTTGTTTTTGCTAGGCACTTTAATACATTCTGTACTTACCAACAAGAAGAAAAAAAGGGGCAACCCAAACAATAAAAATACTTTTTAAAAAGAATAAAAAGTAGACTTTTTGTTTAAATAACAACACCTGGTACCTTATCTAAGGCTAAGTTACTCCCAACAAGTAAGAACAGGAAACAATATTCTGTGCTGAATTGGTGCTCAGTACAGACTAGTCCTCACTAGCAGACCCAGGAAGACCCTTTATAATACCTTTAGGGGCCTGCTGTTCTCTTACAATGAGAGAACTATATGCACCTGACTCTTGAAAAACACAGGGGTTGGGACACCAACCACTCATGCAGTTGAAAATCCACATCTTTCTGACTCCCCCCAAACTTAACTACTGATAGCCTACTGTCACATGCCTTACTTGTCACATGAACAGTCAATTAACGCATGGTCTGTATGTCATATGTATTATATACTGTATTCTTAAGATAAAGTGAGCTATAGAAAAAAAAACATTTTTTAAATAGTTACAAATCTCCAAAAAACTTTTCCAATATATTTATTTGAAAAAAATCCATGTATAAGTGGACCTGCTCAATTCTAAATCATGTTGTTCAAGGGTCAACTGAACATGGGGTTGTGATTTGACGAATGGAGAAATGAATCCATAGGGTAGGGGTAGGAAAGCATTTTGTAAAGGGCTTATTCGATATTAAGATATATTTTTATACCCAAATTGAGATTAGACCCCTTTTGGACAGATTTTCAGTTCTATCAGCCAGTCATCACAGGCAGTCACCATAACCCATATTCACTACAGCCCATGGCTATGGCTCCGTGACCCCTTCCCCCCTCCCCGTACTGCCTTTGTGCACAATGCTCTGTCACCAACCCACCCCTCCACCAGGGTACTTTCTCAGGGTAGCAGGCAGTGTTCCCTCATTCCCTTCCTTCACTATCTGAAGAGGTAATTGATTTAGCACTTTGGAACGGTTGCTATTTCTTACATCAGACTAGGATATATCCTAATACACACAAGGCTGAGGTAGTGAAAATGGGAGTATGCTTTACTACATCCACTAGAAGGTCTGAGATGTTTTTTTAATACGTTCCATGGATTTCTGGATTTATCTGCTTGAAGAACTGGGCATGCTTGGTTCCAGAGATGAGCCTCACATCACCCCTCCCCCACAGGGCTACCTTTAAGGAAATGTCAAATTCAGCCATTCGTCTACCCACCAAAACATACTTTAGGCTCTGTGCGTTGTTGAAGTATTAGTATTACTATAAACACTAACAACTTTGGTAGTAATATTAATAAGATAATAATAATGGTTAACATTTATGGAACTATATGTTTTATATGAAACTATATGTTTTCTCCTATAAAAATCCTCCTCACAAAAAACCCATAATTATTGTCCTTATTTGTCAGATGGGAAACTGAGGGTTACAAGGGTTAAATAAATTTCCCCCGGTTGTAAATATTAATTGTTGTGTGAAAACAATATGTAAGGTTTTCATGCTCAGTATTATGAGCAAAGGTTGTTTTGGAGTTGGGTCTGGACCTGTTAATTCAGCATTTCAGCACCACAGAATGTTAATAAATCTGATATCAGTAAGTTTGGAGGATGTCCACACCGGACCCCTCTTTGGAAGCTCATGATGTATTATCAACATATTAATGGCTCTGGGATCTTAAAGCAAAGAAACTTGTTCTGTGGAACATTCCCCAAGATTGGAAAAATACTTTCACTGTTTTTTCAGGCCACCAGAGACAGTTTTTGACCCATAAGTAAATATTTTATTGAATTTGAATAAGTTATGTGATTTTATGGTTGCTGTATTTGCTTAGGTTTTGAACTAAGACGTTTTGAAGAGGATGGGGATAATGTGGACAGCAGATACTGCTTTTCCATATGCTTCTCTTCACTAAGAAAACCTCTCTTACCCATCCACAGATTCTTTCCCTGTGAAATGACCAAATTCATTTCCACTGTTGGAGTGTCAGTATAAAGTGTATATATTTTTGAAGTTAAGTCAGAAGCGACACTTCCTATTGTTTCTATTTTGTTTGAACAACATATGTATCATATAATCCAGTTTTTCTTCCCTATGACTATGAATAAAAAATAAGATTACTTCTTTGTATATTTTGTGTGTCACATCAGCTTCTAAGAAGGGTCTGAAGTGAGTAACTAAAATTCACTCTACCCATTTCACTGTTATATTTGGAAAGCTATTGAGAACACAGAATTTCATATAAAGCAATGTGTTCTATATTACTGCATTATCACTATAATAAAATTTAAACTGAAGAGAAAGTGCATAAAATTATAATTTAAACTATTTAAAAATAAATTTCAATTAAATGTTTATACATTCACGTCCATATAGAATGCAGTTAGCATACCTATCTTCATCTTTTTCCATTTTTATTTGGCTGTGGTAGGTGTACCGTCCTGTTTCTTCACAAGTATTTTGATTAGCCCATGCTGATTTTACACTGGTGTGGAGTTTTGCAAGATCGTTTTGGAGCCTTTCATTCTCATATTCCAGTTTGTTAACAGATGCATGCCTTGAATGTTCCCTGTTAGTGAAGCCCATACCCTAAAGAATAGAATAAACCATCACTGAAAAAATCCTTCCTTATAAGTGATGCATATTTTCTGTGCACTTGGATGTGTACTTGGAAAGGCCCTTTCATCTGAGTCCAGTGACGTAGCTGTACCCTCACGTGCCTCCAAGTGCTCTTTCCCACCTTCACCTCCTCACCACACAACAGACACTCAGTGGCCGCCGCTCAACACATTGCAGCAAAAGTAATGCATACACGTCCGCTTATGTTCTGACACAGAAAAGGTTCATTCATGCCTTAGTATCTGTATCTAGAACAAGTTGGCTAGACTTAAGTGTTTTGGTGTTTATAGGGTTTGCTTTGTAGTGTTGGTTAAGGATGGAAGCAGAATTTAATACATTTCAATTTTAAAAGAATTTTTTTTCTGATTAAACGAATATATGTCACTAGAAAATCACAGACTGGATGCTGCAGCAAACGAGATACTGAATCCCATGCAGAGCGGGGTCTGATGCTGGGCCCCTCAGGGCCCAGGACCTCACAGCTGAGATCGTGCCAGTGCCACACACAGCGTAGCCTCATGATAAACTTTTACTATCTGGTATGTGCCCACCGATTTTAGGGTGTCTTTGGAAGAGAAGAAACATGTTCAAAACAGAAAATGAGAGATTTAGACCAAGAACAAGTATTTCTGATGCTGTTTGAATTAAATGTTGTAAGTAGTTTCCTAGGGAGGGTCTCAACTTTTCTTTTTACAAAGTTTTTAAAACAGGGTATGTTCTCACATGAAAACTGATGAAAATGTTTTAAATGACTCTACATAGTCTTTTTTAGTCCTATGATTTCAGTATTTGTGAGTTTCATAGTTGCTGATGAAAGTACAGTTCCCTGCTGTCAGAGGGGTAGTATTTTAGCACAAAAAGCACCACATAGATAAAATGTCTCCTTGGAAGCTTCAAATTTCAATTAAAAGCCCATGAGACTTCAGAAAAGTATGGCTTAGAACTTTGATTTTGAAGTTCCTAGATTTTAGAACGTGAGTGCCATTTCATATGGGCTAGCACCCCGTAAAGTCATTCAAACAAATTTAACTGTACATTTTGAGTTATTCATCTACTATCATATTAATATTATTTCTGATACAAAGTATAGAAATATATATATATTAGGTATTAAAAATGTTTACCTGTTTGCTTTATTTTTTGCATCAAAGGTGAAGCCTGCTTACTACATTTTCTATTTACTGCCTAACATATTAGTTTTGCAATATAATGAGTCATACGAAATACATATTTGGTCACTCATATGACCAAGTATCTATTTCCCAGGTATATTAGGTCTTCATCCACAGTTCCTGAAAACACTGCAGGGTCTTAAAGGGGAAATGGGTGTCTCCTCAAGTTAATGAAAGGCTTCTGGATTCCCACCCCAGGGCGGGGGCTGGAGGCTGAATCAGCCGATGGCCAAGAATTTAGTCAGTCATGACTATGCAATGAAGCCCTCACAAAACCCCCTGAGAAGAGCTTCTCTCTCTACTCTTTCGGATTCTGCTTCTCAGTCAGAGAGAGCTTCTAAGCTTGGGGAAGCAGAACGCCTTCCCATGCCGCCTAGCCAGGCCCTAGGCTCCACAAACATAGAAGCTCCTTTATTTGGGACCTTGCCTGATGTCTCTATTCATCTGGCTGTTATGTTGTACCCTTTACCAAACTGGTAAACATCAGTGTTTTTCTGAGTCATGTGATCCGCTCTAGCAAATTAATCGAACCTAAGGGGAAGGCCGTGGGAACCTCCAGTCTGTAGTCAGTAGGTCAGAAGCAGAGGTAAACTGCCTGGGGCTTGTGACGGGATTCTGGAGTGGGGGATGAAGGACAGTCTTGTAGGATAGAGCCCTTAACCTGGGAATCTGGCGCTATGTACTGGCAGATAGCATCAAAATAGAGTTGAGTTCTCCAACACCCTCCTGGTGTTTGAGAATTGCTTGGTGTAAGTATGTGTGGGAAGACCACCTCTCACATACTTACACACATTGGAATCTGGTACGGGTACCCGAATGGAGTTATACTACTATTACTGCTACATATATATACTATATGCTACATACATATATATACATACATATACTACTACATATATATATGTAGAAAAACAACACACCCTTGTGAGTTAATAAATCTTTAGGAAGGTCTCACTTGTGAATGAAAGAAAATGCTCCCAGAGGGCAAACCTCTTCAAACAATTCAGAAAGGGTTAAGTACTTACAGATCTACTGATCAAGGTGTCCTTTGGAAAAGAAGGACCACTGAAGGTGCTTTTCTGTTTTCTAGGCCCTTCCCTTTATTATGTCTTTAACATTTGTTCATTTGAGATACACCAGTACAGATAAGAGAGTACTCTGTAGTCTGATTTAAAAGAGAAAGGTTTATTCTAAAATTAGGGCAGATTTGCAATAAATATAAAGGAAGCACAGTCTTAAAAATTTTTGCCCTTCACAAGGAAAATATTCATTTAAGTAGATCCAATAGGAAAAGGTCATGGAAAAGATTTAAAATTTTACTCCTAAAAAGGCATCTTACAGTCATGTAATTCCTGATGGTCTGCTGCTCAGGTACAATTTTATTCAAGCTTTTTCTATAAAATTAGATTTCAACGGTGACTCTTTTTGGTCCAGTGTGGGTTTAAAGTAATTAAGAATGAAAGTGATGGTTTTTTTTAAAAAACCCACAATTTTCTAATGTACCATAATTAAATAAATGTTGAGAGCATGACCTGAAAGGATTATGCAAAGTATTTACATGATTTATATTTAAAAGTGTATCCCATTTTCCTTGACAACTTTCTTGGGCTTTCTCATTTCATCTTTTTCTTAAATACTTTTTTAGCAATTTCAGGACCTTATCTTCCACTAGATGGTTATCATGTGAAAATAGGTATTGCTTAAATTCTACTTTTATATTTCTGATGGGTTATTTTATAGGCCTGTTATCTCAATTTCTTTTTCTTTTTTTTTAATTTTAGGGTTCTGTAGTTTTAATCCATTTCTTTATTCTTGTAATGGCAAAACCTCCTAGTATCTATCTGGATGCACTAGCATGAGACCAGTTGAATTATTGCAGTGTCTGAATAATAGTATTTTATATATATACTTTTTCTTTTAAATTTTGGTATAATCAACAATGATAGGCTGACAAAGTATTTCTACAGAAGGACTGGCTTTAATCATATTTTATGGTTAGTATGTTAATGGATATTTTTAGATACTTGTGAAGGTACTCATTTTTATCCTACTATTTTGTATAGCAAACTTTATGGATAGTGAAAGGCAAATTGGTCTTAAAAATTACCATAAATTCTGAGTTCTGATTAAATCTGATTTTGTGATGCCTTCATTAAATGAAAGGAAATTTGATAAATACAATTACAGGTCTAAGTAAATATGGGATTGCAAAAATCATAATAAACTTGATTCTTCTAGTTTTCCAGAAGTAGAATAAAGGTAAACTCCTTACTTTTCTCCATGTAGCCAGGTTTTTGCACAAATCTAAGGAAAGCATCATTTTCTGAGCCAAGAATGTCTTGCTGGTTCTGTTACTATTCTAAGTATCTCACTGATACTAAGGAGAAGTTAGATGCCAGGTGGTCTGTCCCATCAGTCCATTCTCAGAGGGAAATGGGAGCTGCCATGGCTCCAGAGGTGCAGGGGACGCTGACTGAGTGCAGGGCTCCTAAGCCTACCACTGGCTGGGTGCTTCTCTATAATTTTCTTTCTCTAAGTGTAAAATAAGCAAGGACTGCCACAGTAAGTCAAGTAGAAAAATTTTCAAAGCTCTGGTTATTTAGAAATGACCTACCTTAATATCAGTAATTTCATTTGTCTAGAAAGGAAAAAAAAGTAATTGTTATTTTAATATTATCCAAATACCACATATTTTAGAAGACCTAAAAATAATGATATAAATATTTTCTTCCTTATTGCCTGAGGTAAAATTTCAGCACCAGTATTTAATTCTATGCTTACTTATCCATTCCACTTATGTCCGAAAGAATTAACTGTCTAAATTTTGGGATCTTAACACATAACAGATAAGAGATTTCCACAGGAAATCTTTAAAGTAATGATTGCTAAACAAGTGACATAATAGATTGTAAACTCTTAAAGAGCAAAGAATTGTAATATAACTCTTTCTTTTTATTCAATAGAGACTTAAGATTTTTCTCTTCAGGTAGTGGCTTGACTACTTCGATTATCAAAGTTAATTCCATATCTTCACATACAATTATAAAGTCAGCTTCCTATATGAATTACAATCCTACATAAAATATATATGATTAATATTATTTTAGTAAGCATCACCTTGAGGACTATACATAAATGGCATTCCATTTTCTGATATCCAATTAACCAATCTTTAAATAAATATGTATTGTGCATGTATGTGCTAAGTGCTGGTAACCAAATATGAAAAAGTGACCCTACCTTCATGAAAGATACAAAGAATTGACTAAACTAACATGTATGAAAAAATAGTGAATAATATAAGGTATAATTATGTGTTAAATTATGTTGCACCAAGTAGGTATGCAAATGTTCTTTTATCAATGAGTGGCAACACTTATTGGGACTGAGATAATGCAGGAAGTGGGGTAAGACAAAGCTTTGGTGGTATCTTTAATGACAGGAACATTAATTTCCATTATAAAAAAATTTTAAGACTGTGCTTCCTTTATATTTATTGCAAATCTGCCCTAATTTTAGAATAAACCTTTATAATTTATTCATACCTCTTAGGCTAAAGGTGAGAACCATAAATCAAGAAGCCCTGCCCTCTATCAAACCCTCTCTGAAGTCAGACATATAGTCTACTTCTTCCCTCAAGGAGTCAATGACTGAGGAGACAAAACATACATATACTGAACATTTAAAAACTAAAAGAAGGGAATTCAAAACTAATTCAAAACTTGGTGTTGAACTGTTATGACAGTACTAAAGACAGACAAAGAGGAAGACATAAATGGGGCCTAGAGTAAACAGATGAACTCAAGAAGGAGAGAATTTAGTCTTGGTCTTAAAGGGGTGGTAGGATTTAGTAGAGCAAAGAATATCTACTTTAGTAAAGGAAAAGCATTCAAGTGGAAGACATAATATATTCATTCGTTCATTCACTCACTCATTCATTTGTTCAGGCATTCATCTAACAAAACATTGTTTTCACTGCCCTCTGTATTCAGGCACTGTGCTAAGTGCTTAGGTGTACTGGTAAACTAGGGCCGGAACTGCCCTTGGTGAGTAGACTGGTGACGGGATGGGTAGCGGACAAGAAAGAGGTTATTTTAATATTGTGCTATGATAAGTGTTATAAAAGGTGCTATGATGGCTTCAAGGAGGGTCACTTAACAGAAAGGAGAAAAATCGTGGAAGATTTTTGTGTAACATGTAAAGTTTATGCTGAGAAACCTCAAACATTAATAGGGCATGACATGTTAGGTAGGGAAGGGGGATTTTTAGTAGAAGGAGAGTATGTGGGAAGACTTGGAAGGAAGGAGGAGCATGAGAAATAAGCATCACATACGCAGAGGAGGCTCGGACAGGTCTAGTCAGAGCAGAGGGTTTGTGCAGGTCACTGGCCCACTAACTTCACAGAGAAGGAGGGGAAGGAAGCCATGGAATATGAAGAGTTCTGACTTGCTACCGGAAATCGAGCCCATGTTATTGATTGGAAGAATGACTCAGAAAAGGTTATGTAAGGAAAGTACATCTGGTTTGGGAAGTGGACAGCTTGGGAGCCACTTGGTGATCCCGAGGAAAGAACTGAGGTGGCTGATGATCACCCTGCAGGGAAAGCTTATGGCCAAAGGAGCAGAGGGCCAGTGGCAAAACCGGGGGAACATGCAGAGGAGCAAACAGAAGAAATGGCGAAAACTACAGGATACTGTAACAGCTAATATGCATTTGGAGTTATCCAAACCAACTTACAAACTATGTGATCTTGGGCAAGTTACTTAAAAACTTAAAAGTCTTAATTTCTTTTTTTTAAATTAATTAATTTTATTTATTTGTTTTTGATAACTATTTTTTATTAAGGTATCATTGATATACAACATTACGAAGGTTTCATGTGAGAAATATTGTAGTTATTACATTCACCAATATTATCAAGTCCCCCACATGCACCCCATTGGAGTCACTGTCCATCAGCATAGTAAGATGCTATAGAGTCACTACCTGTCTTCTCTGTGCTCTACTGCCTTCCCCATGACCCCATGACATTCTGTGCGCTAATCATAATGCTCCTTAATTCCCCTCCCCCTCGCTCCACACTCACCCTCCCTATTCCTATACCTTTGGTAACCACTATTCCCTTCTTGGAGTCTGTGAGTGTGTTTTGTTCCTTCACTTTTGTTTCATTATTGTACTCCACAAATGAGTGAAATCATTTGGTACTTGTCTTTCTCTGCCTGGCTTATTTCACTGATCATAATACCCTCTAGCTCCATCCATGTAGTTATAAATGTTAGGATTTGTTTTCTTCTTATGGCTGAATAATATTCCATTGTGTATATGTACCATACCTTCTTTAACCATTCATCTACTGATGGGCACTTAGGTTGCTTCCATATCTTGGCTATTGTAAATAGTGCTGTGATAAACATAGGGGTGCATATGTTTTTTTGAATCTGGGATCTTATTTTCATTGGGTAGATTCCTAGGAGTGGAATTCCTGGGTCAAATGGTATTTCTATTTTTAGTTTTTTGAGGACCCTCCACATTGCTTTCTACAATGGTTGAACTAATTTACATTCCCACCAACACTGTAGGAAGGTTCCTCTTTCTCCACATTCTTGCCAGCATTTGTTGTTTCTTGTCTTTTGGATGTTGGCCATCCTAACTGGTGTGAGGTGATATTTCACTGTGGTTTTAATTTGCATTTCCCTGATAATTAGCGATGAAGAGCATCTTCTCATGTGCCTGTTGGCCTTCTGAATTTCTTCTTTGAAGAAGTGTCTGTTCAGATCTTCTACCATTTTTTAATTGGGTTATTTGCTTTTTGGGTGTTGAGGGGTGTGAGTCCTTTATATATTTTGGGTGTTAACCCCTTATTGGATATGCTGTTTATGAATATATTCACCCATATGTAGGATGCCTTTTTTCTCCTGATGGTGTACTTTGCTGTACAGAAGCTTTTTAGTTTGATGTAGTTCCATTTGTTCATTTTTGCTTTTGTTTCCTTTGCCCAAGGAGATGTGTTCAGTAAAAAGTTGCACATATTTACATTCAAGAGATTTTTGCCTATGTTTTCTTCTAAGAGTTTTATGGTTTCATGACTTACATTCAGGTGTTTGATCCACTTTGAGTTTACTTTTGTGTATGGAGTTAGTAATCCAGCTTCATTCTCTTACAAGTAGCTGTCCAGTTTTTCCAACACCAGTTATTGAAGAGGCTGTCCTTTCCCCATAGTATATCCATAGCTCCTTTATCGTATATTAATTGGCTGTATATGTTTGGATTTATATCAAGGCTGTCTATTCTGTTCCCTTGTTCTATGGGTCTATTCTTGTGCCAGTACCAAATTGTTTTGATTACTGTGGCTTTCTAGTAGAGCTTGAAGTTGGGGAGCTTAATCCCCCCAGCTTATTCTTCCTTCTCAGGATTGCTTTGGCTATTTGGGGTCTTTTGTGATTCCATATGAGTTTTAGAACTACTTATTCTAGTTTGTTGAAGAATGCTGTTGGTATTTTGATAGGGATTACATTGACATTTTGACAATATTAATTCTTCCTATCCATAAGCATGGGATGTATTTCCATTTATTGGTGTCTTCTTTAATTTCTCTTAGGAGTATCTTGTAGTTTTCAGGGTATAGGTCTTTCACCTCCTTGGCTAGGTTTATTCCTAGGTCTTTTATTATTTTTGATGAAATTGTAAATAGAAATCTTTTCCTGATTTCTCTTTCTGCTGTTTCATCATTTGTGTATAGGATTGCCAGATCTCTGTGTATTAATTTTGTATCCTGCAACTTTGCTGATTCATTTATTAGTTTCAGTAGTTTTGGAGTGGATTCTTTAGGATTTTTTATGTACATCATCATGGTATCTGCAAACAATGACAGTTTAATTTCTTCTTTACCAATTCTGGATGCTTCTTATTTCTTTATGTTGTATGATTGCTGTGGCTAGGACCTCTAGTACTATGTTGAACAAAAGTGGGAAGAATGAGCATCTTTGTCTTGTTCCTGATCTTAGAGGAAAAGCTTTCAGCCTTTTGCTGTGAAGTATATGATGTTGGCTGTGGGTTTATTGTATATGGCTTTTATTATATTGAGGTACTTGCCCTCTATACTAATTTTCTTGAGAGTTTTTATCATGAATGCATGTCGAATTTTGTCAAATGCTTTTTCAGATTCTGTGGAGATGATCAGATAATTTTTGTCCTTTTTGTTGATGTGGTATATGATGTTGATGGATTCTCAAATGTTGTACCATCCTTGCAGCCCTGAGATGAATCCCACTTGATCATGATGGATGATCTTTTTGGTGTTTTTGAATTCGGTTTGCTAATATTTTGTTGAGTATTTTTGCATCTATGTTCGTCAGGGATATTGGTCTGTAATTTTCTTTTATTGTGGTGTCTTTGCCTGGGTTTGATATTAGAGTGATGCTGGCCTCATAGAATTAGTTTGGAAGTATTCCCTCCTCTTCTATGTTTTGGAAAACTTTGAAAAGGATAGGTATAGGTATTAGGTCTTCTCTAAATGCTTGATAAAATTCAGTGGTGAAGTTATCTGGTTCAGGGGTTTTTTTCTTAGGTAGTTTTTTTATTACCAATTCAATTTCATTGCTGGTAATTGGTCTGTTCAGATTTTGTTTTTTTCCTGGG